ACCATGTTTGCTGTTGCCCAGAAGGAGTGGACGTACGTGTATGACAATCAGGGGATAGAGTTACACTGTCTGAAACAGCTACATGAAGTTCTGAGGCTGGAGTTTCTACCCTACCACTTCCTCTTGGCCAGCTCTGTAAGATTTCTTATGATAAGATGTTCCTTTTTAGAAATTCAGAACTTAAAATAGATAAGCATTATCATTTCAATAAGCCTTTATGTATTAAGTTGAAATGAATTGAGCAAATCAAAATGCAAATGAGTAAAAAAAAACCCAGTGATTTCAATAAATATAGCATTAAAACGTGTAAGAGTGACTAGTATTTACATGCAGGGAAGCCCATCCCTTATAATCTTATAGCTTGAAATAAACTATAAGTTGTGATATACACTGTATTGATTGATATTTGATGCTTTCTCCCCAGAATGTCAATGGTTACCTGTACTGGTTAGATGTCTCGGTGGGTCAAAAGGTGGCTGGCCACAGCACTGGTCTGGGCAGGCTGGATGTCATGTGTCAGAATCCTCAGAATGCCATCATCTGTCTCGGACATCCCGGAGGTACTGTATATAGGGAAATTTTCGACCCTGTCTTATTTTTGCCCCTTTCATCCTTGTCACAATTCATTGGGTGAATTTAAAACGGGGCGAATTCAAAGAACACAGTATGAATTCTTTAATAGAACTGTGACTGGGCGAATGTAAAACGGGGAAAATTTGTAAGCAAGTGTAAAAGGGCGAAAATAACACGGGGCGAAAATAACCATGTATACAGTATTAGGCAAATCTTACTGTTCTTTTCATGACAAATGTAGGTTTTAGAAGTTGTAGAACTGAATTCAACACTGGCTTAGGGTAGTGTTATTTGTTTCATTCAATGATGTATTCAATAGATCAATGTAGGTAGATGTACAAATTACAGATAAGAGGATTTACCATACACAGAACAGCCAGCCATTAATATGGACCAAATATTCTTTTTATTAATAATGAGTTTCTTCATTACTGCTTATAGGAAGTGTAACGATGTGGTCGCCAAATGTTAATGAGCCTCTGGTGAAGATGCTTTGTCACGGTGCTGCGGTCAGATCCATAGCTGTGGATTCTAGTGGAATGTGAGTCTGTTCATACAGGACAAGTTCAATAACCTTATAGCAAACATCCATTTTCTCCCCTTTGAATTGCTAAACAATGTTGCTTAACATCCATATTCTGTCAAATGTGTATGGGTTATCAGCGAAAAAAAATATAATCATAAATCTCCTGTGCCTATCATGTTTTCACTGTGAAAATGTATTCCTGTTTCAATATATTTGATACCATGCACAGTATGCCCATGTAAAAATACTGCTTTATAGATATATTAAAACTGGAAGTACATGTAGTAAGAAATCAGAGCTCATACATGTCACAGTGTTTTGTTTTTAGGTCACCTGAGTAAACTCAGGTGACCTATTGCTATCCGTTTTCGTCCGTCGTCGTGCGTTAACATTTGAACATTTTCAGCTTCTTCTTTGCAACTACTGAACCAATTTCAACCAAATTTGGCATGAAGCATTTATGGGTGAAGGGGAACAAAAATTGTAATTTCACGATCCCTGCCCCCCTGGGGCCTGAGGGGTGGGGCCAAAACCACTAAAACTAATGCAATCTTTAAAAATCTTCTTCTTTACTCTTAGACATCAAGCAGTAAAACTGTTTACATGATTGTAATTAGCATTGAGTCCTCTATCAAAATTGTGAAATTCATGGCCCTGGGGTCTGGGGTTCTAGTGCTAGGGCAGGGCTAAATAAGTATATAGTGAAAATGCATTATTTCTTTGAAAATCTTCTTCTCTGCTCCTGGGTATTAAATAAACCAACTAAGTACATGGTTATGATCAGCAAGAGTGCCTCTTCCAAAATTGTGAATCTTATGGCCCCAGGGTCAGGGGTTCTGGTGTTAAGGCGGGGCTCTCTTGATTTTATAGTGAAAGTACATTAATTCTTTGAAAATCTTCTTCTCCTAGGTATGAAATAAACTAATTAAGTGTATAGTTATGATGAACAAGAGTTCCTTTTCAAAAATTGTGAAATAATGGCCCCAGGGTCAGGGGTTCTGGTGTTAGGGCGGGACTGTATTGATTATATAGTGAAAATGCATTAATTCTTTGAAAATCTTCTTCTCTGCTCCTAGGTATTAAATAAACTAACTAAGTACATAGTTATGATGAGCAAGAGTGCATCTACCAAAATTGTGAATTTTATGGCCCCAGGGTCAGGGGTTCTAGTGTTAGGGCGGGGCTCTATAGATTATATAGTGAAAATGCATTATTTCTTTGAAAATCTTTTTCTCTGCTCCTAGGTATGAAGTAAACTAGCTAAGTACATAGTTATGATGAGAAAGAGTTCCTCTACCAAAATTGTGAATTTATGGCCCCAGAGTCAGGGGTTCTGGTGTAAGGGCGGGGCTCTATTGATTATATAGTGAAAATACATTAAATCTGTGAAAATTTTCTTCTCTGCTCCTGGGTATTAAGCAGATGAACTACCTATATAGTTGTGATGAGCAAGGGCCCTGATCTTCTAGAATTGTGAATTTAAAAGCCCCAGGGTCAGGGGGACCATTGCTGGGGGGCTGTACTTATACACTGAAAATTGTTTGAAATCTGCTCCTTGGTATTAATCAAATATTTTTGAAAAGCAAGGATGCCTTTTCAAAAATTGTGCAATGTGTGGATCTAGGCCTAAAGGGTCAGGGGTTCATGTGTGGTAGGGGATTATTGTTGATTATTGCTGAATATTACTGGTTAGTTGAAATACATTTTTTGTTCCCCTACCCTGCCTATGGGTATTAAGTAACCAAACTAATAACTGCTACATGTATGGTTATGATGATCAATGGTGCCTCTTTCAAAATTGTGAATGCCATAGCATCTGGCTTAAAACATGAATCAAATTCAATCACTGGAAAGTTGTTGCATAATGCTCAGGTGACCTATAACAGGTCGGAGAGAATACTCGAAATCGGGTATTATCCTTGAAATCGGGTATAATACGCGATATTGGGGTATCGTAGAATCCGCGAAATCGGGTATAGGAGGTGTTATCACAAAATAAAAATTAAACATTGGGATGGCGCATTATGCGGAGTAAACTTTCACTTAGTGGTGAATATTTTGCATATAATTCACTACTAAAAAGATAACCTCGACCTCAAAGTTTGTGCGCTCACGACAACAAAGGCTTGAAAAGGTAAGCACGTTTAACATTCTGCTCCCAAACACGGTCTTCTTCTACTTTATATTTTGTTTAATGTGAAATACGTTTGCAAATTTTTCAAGCCAATATCCTACTTTATATAAATGCAAATTATCAATATTCTGTGATCTATAGTTTAAACAAATCAGTACAACTAACATAAAGAAGTTGCAAACAATTCTATTTGTATGGAAACACGTTTCAAACAAAACAATGTTTCGTTTTTATGAAATAATGTGTTTTTCATCTTTAGTCATACAATTGTTCCCTTAAAGTTTATCCCTTGCACTTAAATTGATCATTCAAACATTAGAATATTTAAACTTTGATACAGAACGAAGCATTCATTTTTTTTTTAGAATTTAAAAAAAATATATACCTTTTTTTTTTTTAGAATGCCTCCTACAAAATCGTGTAGAAGTAAGGACCATGATGCTGTTATCAAAAAAGTTTCTGATGAAAAAATAACTGTGTTTAAAGTCAAGGGGAAAAAAGTAAAAAAAGACATTGTCGAAACTTTGATAAAAAATGGGTCCTTGACTGAACATTCCAAATATGTTTGTTCTTCCTGTGTACAACATGCAGAAACCACGTTTATGCAAGAAAATTTGATTAACAAAGAGCGCAAAATTAGTAATGAAGAGTGTGAATCTTCAGTATTTGAAACATTCTTGGAGTATATAAGGGATGGGAAGTTAACGCATGAACAAAGCTGCGAGTTGGTCTTTAATATTGCAAAGAAACAGTCAAAGGACATATACAAAGATTCGGTCAGCATCCAGAATGTTTATAAAAATGATACTGAACTCCAGAATCTTAATTTGCAGGGTAAGCATTCAGAACTGTCCTCGAATTATATATATATATGGTTTTAGATATTATATATATATATATATATATATATATATATATATATATATATATATATATATATATATATATATATATATTCTTTAATTTTAGATTGGTTATCAAAGAGAGACAAGGTGGTAATTTCTTTTCTTCGAGGTATTGCTAGCAAGGAAAGTCCAGATCTGCCACTGTTGGTGAAAACTGTGGATCACATTTACAACTTAAGCAATCCTACATATGTGTCCTCGCTAGCTTTTATTCAAAATCTGTTGACATACTATATCACAGGAAGTCGGTTTGCAATAGATTTGAATAGTAAGGGATCACCCTCAGGTTGTTATGCAACCATAAAGAAGTGGATTTCAGATCACAGCAGAGACCCACTTACATGTCCTGGTGATGCCGATGTTTTCACATTTTTTGACAACAACCAGGTATACGTACTGTTGTAGAACAATATATTTTACCATCCAATTACATATATACTTGTGTAATAGATAGTTTAGTCTTATTATTTTGTACTTGCATAGGTTTTACAGAAGAGATGGAGGGTTGAGTTTGATTTTAAGTGTAAAAGCAGCGTAGTAACGAATCTTATACATATAATCCCGAATGAAACTTCAGCAGAGATTCTTCAAACAAATCCAGATTTATCACCGAGAAAATGGTATGATCTGTCTACAGAGGCAAAACAGGCACTTGTCCCTAAATTAAAATCACAAGTCGATGAAGCAAATCAAAATTTCAGGAAATACAGGTACTGCATTTTATGAACATATAAATTTGGGCATACATGTGTATCTTATAAAAAAATCCAATAATTTTCTGAGAACATCTGTAAACTAAGTCTATTAATCATTTAGGAATGATTTCATTGAAAAAAAGTTGAAAGTTATTGTGGAGAGTCAAATGCGGAAAGCAAATAACACCTTTGAAGACTATATCGACCAGAAGAAAACTATTTTGACAACTAACACTTCCTCTGAAAGGTATCTCCATTTTCCATTTGACAATTTTTGTAATTGCTTTGTTTAATTGCTCATACAATTATTTGATTCTTTTTTTCTTTTCTTTGAAGATACACGTTTATACCATCTGGGCATGCTAACAAACCAGATATTATTATTGGTGACCCCTGCTTCGAAAATCCATGTTCTTATGAAGCTCTAGAAAAGGTATGGTATAGAATTTAATTATCGCTGAAACTCTTTATCTTGGAAAAATTAGTTTGTCTCGTTTAAAGAACAGTAGGGCCACTTTTTCAGGTTTTTGACCATATTCTAAGTAAAACTGAAGTGGGCGAGGGAAGGTCTTGGACAATAGTAGGATGCGATGGTCTTCCCTACACTCTTGGATGTAGAACAATTGACAGTGTGTGTCGATGTAGAGAATGTGAGATGGAGTTTACAAGCGTAGAAGAATTTGAAAAACACAAAATTTTATTTGATCATGAAAAGTGTTCTAACATCAACGATTGCCTGAAGTATCTGGATATAATCATGGTACCCGGTGAGCAAACATTTTTGTTAACATATCTCAACAAGATCTGTAAATTTCAATTTAAAAAAAATATATATAGCTACTTTTTTTTTAACATTATTTCAAGAAATATTGCCTATATGTATTAAATTTCAGGATTAGGGCATTTTGAGATGAATATGCTAAAAGCAGTCTTTAGATTACTTTGGGACGTCATTTTAGTTGACTTAGCAGTGATGTTGGGCTTTCACAGCCCGAAGGCATTAGCCTCCTGTATGGCTGCAACCGGTACATGTATTCCCTTATCGTCAATTTCAAACAGTGGTTTCTTTACTTAGACGTTTTTGTTTGAACATCCATTTCATTTCATATTTTTATGCAAAGATTTAAATTTATGTTTCTTTTTATTTCTTTAATCAGACCACCACAAAAGTTGGCAAATTTTCCAAATATTTCTTCATGCCATGGCAGAAGAGCTCCTCCTGCTGTATGCCAGAGAGGAGTTGAAAAGAAATGAAAGACCAACAGCAGAGGGATTTTATAAATGGACAAAACATGTAAAGAATCCCAATTATAAATTCATGGTTGAAGCAGTGTTCACTTTATGTCTTTCACTTCATGTGTTCAGGGCTGGTGTGAGGAGGAACAACACCTCTGCAATCAGAACAGCACTTTTTAAATTCGCCCCGCTATTTTTTGGATTCTCCATGCCATTTTATATCGAGACATTTATTAGAGATTCCTTTTTTCGCATTCAGTGCCCTCCAGAAATTAGAAATTTCATAGAAAATAACGAATCGTTCAGTATATCAGGAAACTGTTCAAAAGGCGAGGGAGGAGATTTTATTTTAGAGTCAAAAAATAGAAAGACCAAGATGTGGATGCCAGGAGGTCTTCCTGACGAGAAGACATGGTTACATGTCTGTAGGAATATTGACAGACTGGAAAAGGTACATTTAAATTATTTTAAAACTTTTGTGGACATGAGCAAATATGACCAAGGATGCAACATCCATGTATGAAATATATAAAGAAAATGTAACCCATTGTATTCAGAAAAAGATTACTTCTTTATTATATGTTGAGGACAACGGCAATTTATTTTAGTTAAAGATGATTTTGTTTTTGCACATATACCAATGCATACAGCATGGATCCAATAATTGCAGAGATTCTTTTTGTCAGGGTGACCACATCCAATCCATAATCTTTTTTTATCTTCCTTTCCTTCCCCGCAAACTCTACACTTTTCTGGATCCATTGTTGTTAACTCGTGAAGATAGCTTTCTTGAGTCTGAGTCATCTGGCTTTCACATTTTGATGGAGTTGGTGATAAGGGACCTGTACTTGGTCCTGGACAGTCTTCGTTGTTTACCTGTATTTCTGTGGCCTCTTTTGTTTCATGCACATGATGTTTCTTTAAATATAAATAGGAATGAGGAAACAAAATATGATATACTATCTGTACAAAACATCATTTGGGAAGTTATTTAAGAGAATTTTTACTACCTCCACAGATCCTTCTTGTTGGACACTTGAATTGTATTCATAGATATATCCAGATGTGTGTTTCAGTCTCAAATGTACTTCACATTTGGTTACAAGATGCAGATCTACAGCCTGAAAATAAAATGATAATAAATGCTTACATTGAAACATCACTTCCATTTCAGGTGAGAGATAACATGGTTTGTGAACTTGGCATAACTGAAAATGATGTCGACTATCAATATGCCTATGATATTACCACAGAAATATTCGAGTTCCGTAAAAAAATACGCAGTTCCTGCTATTTAAGTGGCATAGACGACATCAAACCACATGTCTCAGTGTCTGGAAAGCAACTAGACAAGGAGCTTATAGATTTCTACAAGTCTTCACAATGTAACTTCGAGAAATATCTAGACTTCTGCACTGAAAATGACTTGAAAGACAAAATGAAACTTGAACCTATTTTTGTTACGCCCAACGATAGAGAAAATTTCTGCTCCCTGGAAAATAAACCAAAAAAAGAACTTATCTCAATGGTGCAGGCATTGTTACAACAGTTGGACGCAGATGAAATTACTTTAAAAAAATGGAAAGTTATAAAATCAAAAAGAAAGTATGAAATAGAGTTTTACAAAGAAATGTTAAACATTGACAAGTGTGAAGACAATTGAGGTAATTCATGATTCGAACATCAGTGTGGAATAAATATCTTTAGAACTGATTAATTAATAAATTTATTTTTCAGATGTCATGGATTTAATAACAGAATGGAAGATGCTAATATTTACCTTTTTTAAAAGGGTGTTCTTTCTTTGATAAAAGGCTTTGTTGAGAGCCATGCTGGAAACATGCGCCCTAGGCTTCATTTTTGATTTCTTTTCCAGCTTGATCGATGACACTTTGGCGCCTTTTTTAGTATTTTTTATCTGCAATCAATTTTAAGGAGTTAAAAGAAATGTTAAAAAGAAAAAAAAATCACAGTAATTTTTATTGTTACATAGATAAAACGATGTAAATGAATAATTCAATAGAAATAATATTTGACATGCATGTTTTGAAATATTCAAAATGTTATTTTAAAAGCATGATAAATACAGGCCCGTAGCAACCCCCCTTTTTTCCACCAACAATACATATAATATAGGAAATGTTCATTGAATGGATGCT